TATGAGACTGATCAATCTAGAGAAATTCCATATTTTGGCTTTCATTCCCACAGTTTTAGCTACAAAATTTTCTGTACTATTCCTCTCCCATTAGCCTCATTAAGTAATCAGTGAGCTTTAGATACTAATGCAAAATATAGACTATGCAGATATATGTATTCATGATAGGATTTATGCAAGTTTGGTGCAATCCTATACTCTGAATATGAGAAAGCAGATAGCAGCAAACACAGTGAGACTTTTTTCAGTGTCTTAAGTTCTAGATGAATACATTTTAGGGTTTCTTTGATCATGTTAATGACATAAGCTATAGCAATTCCAGGAGAGACAGAGAGAGACTCATAGAAGTTGTTTTATCATTAGAAATGGTTGAGCAGCACTTACCTGTTTCAAGGCATGTTCAGTTCTGACACTATCTCCAAACCATAGGTACAATTGATTGCTGTAGGGATAAAAATCAGGGCTACAAAGCTTCCTGAAGCCTTCAGAAAGGCTGAATGATATGTATGATATAAAAAATAGAAGTAAGCCTTTATTTCAGAAGAATTTAGTTATTTTAAGCAACAGACTCAATTTCGCCTGGTTTTATTCTCCATTGACAGAGCCAAAGATTTCTCCAATTTTCATTACAATTTCATTTTTTTTGTGCTTTCTAACAAGCCTGTGAGGCTGAGAAACCAGGCAGGTATTTGAATGCAAGGGTTAAACCAAGACAGGTATGACACGGTGCATGACAAACAAATTTCCTGAACCAGGATATAGGAGATCCCTTACAGATATGAAGGCTGAAGCTGTTTCCTTTACACAGCGATGAAAAGCAGTGTGACCTATTTCTCCCATTGGGATGAATTGCCAGGAAGGGTGCAGATGGTATTTCTGCACCTTTGGTGGGGCATCCTGTCCCCTTGGTAGGGTCTGTGGATGAACAGAAGGTGCAACCTCAATATGCCATGCTATAGCTGTCTCTGGCTGAGGAGTAACCATCAAAGAGGAGGAGGAAAAACGAGGGAGACATGACAATCAGACCACCACGATTTTATGTAATGATCTAGTAAAACATGTGTGCCAGGCTGCCTCTTTTAACAAATCACTTGGTGCTGTTATTTCTCTTCTACTGGGTTGTGTGAACTTAAAATATTTGGGGTTTAGCTTTGCTTTTTCACCCAAGTATTATTGCTATCTAACACGAAGCTTTCTTCTTTTTGAAATATGATGATTTGGTGCTGTTCAATTCTGCCCTTTCTGCTATGCAGTTTTGGTGGGTTGACCTTGGCTGGACACCATGTGTCCACTCAGCCACTCTATCACTCCCCTTCCCAGCCGGACAAGGGAGAGAGTAAGGTGGGAAAACAACTCATGGATTGGGATAAGGCAGTGTATTTAAAACTAAAGCAAAGCAGAAGCTTGTGTGAGCAAAAGCAAAGAGAAGTGAAAGATAGCAGGGTTTATTCTCTACTTCCCATGAGCAGCAAAGGTTGGCCACTTCCAAGAAGCAGGGATTCAGCACGCGTAATGGTTCCTCAGTAGGCAGCCATTGGAGACAATGAATGCCCCCCTTCCTGCTCCTGGCCTTAGCTTTTATATCTGAGCTGATGTCATACGGTGTGGAATATCCCTTTGACCAGTTTGGGTCAGTTGACTACTTGTGCCCCCTTCCAGGATCTTGCCCTCAGTTGAGGGAGGAATGTTACAGTGCTGATGCTGTGCTCAGCAGGAGCCAAAACACTGGTGTGTTATCAACACCTGCTGAGCTACCAACGCAAAGCACAGCACTGTGAGGGCTGCTACAGGGAAATGAACTCCAGCTCAGCCAGACCCAATACAGGAGTACATCTGGAAAGATTTCCATTTCCAAGTAAATAAGAGAGCACTTGTAAAGTATTCATTGTTTATTCTCAAGTTACTGCTTGGCACACTTGGTCATCTGGTGAGTTGATATTAGAAACTGGCATGTTAAAAGTTCCAAACTTCCCTTTTTTTTTTTTTTTCTTTTTTTTTAATGGACAGAGAAAATGGGATCCAGTCTGGTATATAATTAGTTGTGTCCAGCACATCTTCTTGGGCATGGAGATAAACTGCAGTCTCTGCCAGCTGGGGCAGTGCCAGTACCATGAACTAGCACAGCATGCTCCAGAAGCTTCTCTTTCTGCCCCAGCATAACCCAGCATATTCCCAAGAGGGCAGGGGAGGTGAGTAAGCAAGTGGTAAAAGTACAGCAATTGTGAGCCAACCTGCTTCTGAAATCTGTTATTAAAGTATTCTCTACTGAAAGCTGGGAGGTCATGCTTCGGTCATACCTTTAGAGTGTTATGTAAAGGGATTCTCTGCATAACTTAGGAAAAGAGATCTATATGACCTAAACTGAAACTCTACTTGGAAGAGAAATTCTTCCTCTCCTTTCTCTTCCTCTACTTCTAAGCCTGGTGTTCTTTCATCTCTTGCACAACTGCATACAACTAAATGCAGTTGTAGACTGAACAAAAAAAATTATGACTACATGAGCATGAAACAATGGGGACTAGAAAACAAGGTATTCACAGCTCTAAATCAAGTCAAAATGCTTTTAGATACTGAAGACAAAAAAGTAATGAAAAAGTCATAGGTATGCTCTACGAGGGTGCAGCAGGTTGCCAGTGCTCTGCATGACAAGAAATCTATGGGGGAGGAATGTAAAAGAAAAGAAGGAAATAAAAGAAGGTGAAAAAGAGAGAGGGGAAAAGCTAGAGTGCAATGCTAATAGGATAAGAACTCTCATACAAAGCCAGATCAAAGACTTTTTAACTTACTCATACGTGTCTGACTGTGGTCAATAGTGGATGCTAGAAGAGAACACAAAAAACACATATTAATATCTCTCCCAGACAATCTCTCAGATTAAAGAAATAGTCAGTGGAGAGGTGTTTTTTGAGCATGTTTGCCCTTTGTTACGTCCAACTGATTTTTCTTTCATCACTTTTTAAACCCACATAGACCCTTATATTCACAACACCCTATAACAAGAAGTTGAACAGCTTAACCACAAGGACTGTTTTCTGGTTTTTTGGAATCCATCGCCTGCTTGTTTCTTTCATACACATTTGAATCTTCGCTCTACTTGTGTGGGAGGAGACTGTGAGTGACAGTGAACCTTTTACCCCTGTATACCTCCCTCACTAAAGATTGTAGGGACCTGCATCATATTTCTCCTCTGTCACCCATGTCCACCCTGAAGACTCCTACCATACCTAGCCATTCCTCAAGCACAGACACTTCAGACCCCGGCCACCCTTTTCTGTACCTAACCCTCTTCCACCACGCCTGGTTCGAGATGAGGGACCAAAACTGCTCTCAGTAATCAAAATCTCTGTACTGTGGAATTATGTTGGAGCAATAATTACGTCTTCTGGTTTGATCTCTACCTCTCCCTAATTCTAATATTTTATGTCCATTGTTTTGTCTGATACTTGAGTGTATTTATGCAGCTGTTTAGCATCACATCAGCGCTTCCCTTCTGAATGACAATAGTCAGTTGAGAGCCCCTTGTTTCCTTTGTGAATTTAAGATCTTTCTTTCTGTACATTATTTCAACGCACAGGTTTTAGAGACTCTACAACAAAATCTGTTTATAAATGGAATTTTTACTAAATTATCTTTAATGTATATATCTCTTCATACTGTACTTATTCAAGGGTAAATATTATTGTATCTTTTATATCACGACCTTTGAGTGATGTAAAATGCCCACAGAGATCTAGCAGAGAATTTCCTAATGGAAATATAGCTTATATTAGAAAAAGAGTGCTTTAGCATGTGTAGATTATACTCATTTCCCCCAGAAGAGTAAATGATACTAGTAGAATAATTTTTGTGCCCTTGTCAATTTTGGTAACTGTATCAGGGCTGAAGTTTAGTCAGAATGGAAATTTTGAGAATAAAATCAACAGTCCCAAGTGACACTGAGAAATAGGTAATTTTTCTACCATAAGATTGATCTTTGCCATCAGACATATGGCTTGAAAATATGGGTGAAGATAATCTGATGACCTGATTTTCATTTGGACACTACTATAGGAAAATAAGAATCCGTATCTTTGCAAAAGATACAGATAAAACTTATTGTAAGGTGGTATGTCATCACATCCTGTAATTTTTTTCTGTGAAAAGTTCATCCAGAAGTCTCACTCACCAAGTGAGCAGAAAGGATGGATGCTAACTGCTTAAATGCAGGGACTGTTGTGTTTGTCCTTCTGAAAGATATTGTGTAGATTAAATGTTATGTTTTTGTGATGAACTCTTTGCTTCTATTCAGTATATTCACTGAGACCAGGATCCCAGATGTTTTAGCAGAATCTATCCAGTGCTGTCATAGGAAAGTTTTTCAACTCCAACTCCAGAAATATTTTTTATTTTCATCCCTCATGTTTTCAACTATTTATTCTGTTTAATTGGTATGATTGCAGTTGTTCTTTATGAGTTTCAAAGGTCTAAAAATCATTAAATATTATGAATTCAAAAAATAGCTTTTCATCATCCCAGTGATTTTCTTCTTTAGCAGAAATGTTCCATTTCCTATTTTCTGATTGTCCTCAAGTCATCACATCTATATATATCCTGTTCATGCAGTCCCTGGGCTGAAGGTTGAAGGACGTGCACCTGCATGGAGGGAATACCTTTCTGCATGCCAGGATATGCTGTTTTAGATGTGTTGAGTCCTGCTTGGCATATCAGAAGAGGTGGAGAGGACTGTGTTGGAGAGGTAGCTGGAAAGGGGGCAGCTGGTCTCCCCTGAACTTGTCCTTCCCCGAGCTTGCCCTCCCTCAAGGACTGCACAAGAACATCAGAGATAAGTATATATGTACATACAATATATAAACCTATGCATATATATGTATATTTTATCCGTGTATTTGCACGTGTGTATGCACACACATTTATGTATATATGTATGCACTTTGTATACGTGTACATATAGTTTGTATATAGATGCACGCATGTATGTATATACTAGTACACCTATGGGCACGAAATCCTCAGTTAATTATCCTTCGGGTGGAGTTTCCAGCCCGGAAACCCAGTCTCCCCGCGGTTGGAGAGAAGTGCCCTCCGTCCCTCCCGCCGCGAAGGCGCTGCCGGGGCTGAGGCAGAGCCCAGGAGCTCCCCCGGACCTGCCAGCTGCTGCAGGAGGAGTGAGAAGAACCCCAACCCGAGTACTGCTCCCCCCGAGACTATTCTTACCCGATGTTCACACAGAAACACAGACACAGGTGGGTCCGGGACACTCCCATGCACAGCCATCAGATGGCAAGGGACCCTCCTCGGAGGGCAGGGAGGGGAGGGGAAGGAAAGCAAGCCTTTTCTCTGCTTCTCTTTGTTTGTAATTGGGAAAGACTTCAATCGCAAAGTCTTAAGAGCTGTCTGAGGTGCTTCAGAGCAAAGGTAAATTCGCCTCATGATAGAACAGAGAGGTAAAACAGACGGTAACCTCTGGGGTTTGCCCGTGACACCAGTAAAGGGTCAGTGGCCCATTAGTCCAGGCGGATAAATAACCCCGAAGAATGATCTCAACCAGCTCTGAGAGGGGGCTGCCTTTGTCTCTACCCCTCCCGGTGGAAGCGGGTTCTTCCGAGGGGGCGCAGGAGAGGGCGGGTGAACAAAGGAAAGAAAGCCCTGTCACCGTTCTGCTGCCGCTACAGAAGGCGCCCGGCATCCCTGCCCGGCCCGAGCAGGCTCCCCTGAAGGGGACGCTAAATAATTGATCAGAATCGATTGCCTGCATGCATTGGAAAGGGAAAGAGGGCGCATCTCTTGCGTGCAGCCAGCTCCTTCCCCCATTTGCGCTGTAATCTTATTCCACCGTGTGCGGATAGAAGGGACGTTAACTCAGCTTTCAGGCCTGGGCGGGGTTCTCGCTGTTTAATCTTCCTTTCTCTTCCCTTCGCTGCTTTCCTCCCTCCCCCCTCTTTTCCGTCTCCCAGGCCCAGTGAGGTCAGCTCATTTTCCTGAGAGGCTCTGGCAGCGGCGCGTACCTCGTGTGCGGTGCCCAGCTCTTCGTGCATGCATTTCGCCAGCCGGGCAGCAGACGAAGTGGTGGTGAGTAATGCGGATGCTTTAGATCCAAGCCTTTTCTTCTCCCTCTTTTTTTTTTTCTTTTTTTTTTTTTTTTTCATTCTTTTTTTTCCTCGCTCCAAAAAGAGAATGTTACTCGGGATCCAGATGAAACAAACCCACCAGGTATGAGGGGGGACCTTCTAAAATCCCCCCCCGCGCCTTTAAACCGGGACAAAAGGCAGAAGCGCTCTCAAAGCTTAAGCCGCGTTTGCGAATTCTCGGAGAGAGGCGGGTTCCTGTCGGGACGAAAGGGCCGGGGCCCGGGGGGATACCCTGCGCGAAGCCCCGGGCGGGCAGGCGAGAGCCCCGCGCCGGCGCGTAGAGCCACCGGACTGCTCCCTTTTGTTGCTGCCATTTATTTACCCTTTTTTCTGCCTGGATAAGAAAACCTGCGGAGACGCCGGGGCCCGGCGCCACGTGGGTTTGCCTCTGGGGAGAAGGTTGTGCCGCGGAGTTTTGTGAGGACGGAGATTTCGGACTTGGGCTCAAACAGGGCTTTCGTTGTGCCAGTTAAAAAAAAAAAAATTTATATATGTGTGTATATTTATCAAAAATCAGCCAAGTTAACTGTAGGCGGTAGCCGATCCTGGAATTCGGGGCATGCAGGGTGCTGGTTGTGTTCTGGAAGGTCGTGGTTGATAGTTGAGTTGCAGTGAAAGTTCCCGAAAAGATTCAGATATAGCATAGGGTCCCTGATTATTAATTTTGATTTAATTTTATACATTTCATACCTATATAGCTCCAAACAATTGTAGTGTGGGAATTCTGTTTGTGTTGGTTAATAGAAATGCAAAGCAAATCTTTAATAAAGTGTTGTGATATAAGTTTTGGTAGGTCTACACTCCCATTCTCCTTTTTCACTAATGTCTGGGAAGTTTCTGCCTAATTGTATCATTTTGAGAAATAATTTCCAGAATATTGGTTTAAATCAGGTTGATAATGACAGTGCATTTGAGAGGAAATGTTATGCTACTGCCAGTGAGAGGAGAGCAAACAGAGCCTCATTGTCTAGTAAAGCAATTGTCAGGGTACGGTACAGTGTCTACACTGACTTTGCCCAGTTGTGCTTCTTTCTTTATTCCCTGTTTTAGCAGGGAACGTTTAAGCCACGTTCTGGGAGGGAATTGTATGCTGTAATTTCTTCTGTTGCCCACGTTTTCCCTTTAAGGACAGTTGAATAAAAGCTATGTGAAAGCAGTTTATGAATCATAGCTATTTTTTTAAGAATATATTGAGCGACATTAAGAGGATGATATGGCTTTTAACAGCCCTTTTTCATAATCTGTTGCAGCCATGAAAACTCTGGTTGTTTCACTAAAAGGGCAAATTGAGAAGTGAGCACCCTTCAGAGAATATGACATAACATTTTGTTCTGGGTGAAGGTGTATTCCTTGCTTTGTTTTGAAAATCTGCTGAGTGATTATGCCTCAGTCCTATATAATCTACTGATCTGCATAACCAATAACAAATATGAATCGGTCTTAAATGCCAACAGTGCCTCTGGATAACAAACTGGGACAAATTTGTGTTTAGAAGCTGATTGAAGAACCCCTTTCCTTTATGATCCTCGATTGCCGAGTCACCTTGCCCTGGAAAGAGTCCCTGTCAATGCTCAAGGAAAATCTGTAGTTGCTTCCACGTGTGCAGCCCTTTGTAGAGCAGCCTTCCCCCACTCAGCTATGACAGACACCTGGAAGAGGCCTTTGAGCAGGCAGACAGGTGCATTAGCAACCCAGGCTTGGTGTTGAGGACGAGGGAGAGAGAAGGAAGGTGTGTGGAAGGAAATTTATCCTTAATGTGGCGGCCCGTCAGGGGAAGGTTGGGCATGGGGCTTGGGGAAACGCCCCGAGGTGTAGGCGGAGTGGGAACGGGCCTCAGCCGAGCCCTGCGCATCCCTTCCGAGATCCGCTCCCGTTGGCGCTGGGCTGCAGCCTCGGCTGGCTCGTCCCTGGCAGGTGGGCGCGGGGCAGGGCTGGGGGGCGGCAGGGAGCGGGCTCGCTGGTCGCCGCCGTTGCCGGGAAGCCCGTCTCCCTGTCCTCCCCGTCCCCACCCCGACCGCCTTCTCCGTCTTCTCCTCCCGCAGCTGTCGGGGCGGCGGCGGCGCGGGAGGCGGAGGACAGCGCGGATGATGGACGCGTCCCCGAGATAGCCGCCGCCATGAGCCAGCCGCCTGCAGGGGGCGCCGCCGCGGAGCCGCGCCTGCATCCCGAGGGCAGCAGCGGCAGGAAGCAGCCGCGAGCACCCTCGCCGGCCCGGGCCCGCGACACCGCCCCGCGCCCCCCGCCCGCCGCCGCCGCCGCCCGCGCCCCGCCCGCCGCTGCCGCCACCTCCGCCAAGGCCTCCTCGGCGCGGCCGCCACCGGGCCAGGCCCCCCGAGCCGCCCGCGGCCGTGCGGCCGACAGGCCGCCGCGGGGAGCTGTCCAGCCCGGCGCCGGTGCTGAACCCCCGCCCGCCGCCGCCGCCGCCGGGAAAGGAGCCGCAGCTGCGGCTGCCGCCGAGGAGCCGCCGCCGCCCGGCGCCTCCGAGGAAGCGCCCCCTGCAGGGGCCGGCGGGGGCGAGCGGGAGGGGGCGGCAGCGCCGCCGCCCAAGCAGTGGCGGGGGAAAGCGGGGCGGTCCCCGCTGAAGGGCGCGGGGGAGGCGGCCCCGGCGCCTCCATCTTCCTCGGGTGCGGGGAAGGGCCGCGGTGCGGCGGCGGGCGGCGGCGGGTACTGGAAGGAGGGATGCCTGCAAAGTGAGCTCATCCAGTTCCACCTCAGGAAAGGGCTGGCGGCGGCCGCCCAGATGCAAACCAAGGTCGGCAATCACAGCAGCAGCAGCGGCAGCGCTTCCTCCGCCGCCTCCGCGGCCGCCGCCCCAACCGAGCCTCCCCCGGCCGCCTCCGCCTCCTCGCCCGCTGCCATGGCGGCGGCCGGGGCGGAGGGGATGCGACAGGGCGAGGCGGGAGGCGACGGCAGGAGCGGCGGCCCCGAAGGCGCCCTGAGCCCGCACCTGCAGGAGGAGATGCAGGAAGAGATGGAGAAGCTGCGGGAGGAGAACGAGAGCCTCAAGGTGAGTGGCCGGGGCGGTGGCGGGGGAGAACCGCGGCAGGGCGGGGGCCAGGCCGCCTACCCACGCCCGCACTGGGAGGGACCTTCCCGGCCTCCTTCTGCCCCGGCAGAAACACTGGAGGCAGCGTTAAGATGGCTCTGTCGTGGGGGATGTGGGCACTGTCACTTCCGCGCTTCGTTGCGGTGCTTATAATGGGCTGGGTTGTATTTACCTGCGGTCCCAATGGGGCGGAGCTCTATCTTGGCTTCCTTCCCCTGTACGTGCTGGCATACGTGCTTTTGACCCACCTGTTGCATCCCTGTCCCCTTCTCGCCCTGGTACCAGAATGAGATAGATGAGCTGAGAACAGAGATGGACGAGATGAGGGACAGTTTCTTTGAGGAGGATGCTTGTCAGCTTCAAGAAATGCGCCACGAACTGGAGCGAGCTAACAAGAACTGCCGGATCCTTCAGTACCGGCTGCGCAAGGCTGAGCGCAAGAGGCTCCGCTATGCCCAGACCGGCGAGATTGACAGCGAGCTCATACGCAGCATGGAGCAGGACCTCAAGGTAAAGATGTGAGCAGGTGTCGAGGGGAGGGAGCACCTCAGATGGAGACACAGTCGTGCTCTCAGTCCTCATGACTCAGGCGTTTCCATCCATTCCACTGTGCACCCAGTGCACCTCCTAGAATAGCAATGGCCAAGCTATCCTTGGTAATAGAAGCCCTTCTAGTATGGAGATTGGCTGTTTTCAGCTTCAGTCCAACCAATTTTTGTAAAGATAATGTGCAAGAAATTACTCCAATGCAATTTAGGAGCTAAAGGTTTTTGACACTTTATGCTGAATGCAAAACATACCTTTACACTGCAGAATTAAACCAACCTCACTGAATAGCTCCATTGACTTTGAGAGGATTTTGTTACTCTTTAGTAAAAGGTTTCAAGGGATGAGTACATTGAATACTTGCAGAGTCACAACATGAAACCCTGACACTGTTGCTGTCAGTAAAAAACTGCTGTTATGTTCAGCAAATCCAGGATTTTCCACATCCACCTGAAATCTTAGACAAAACCCATCGCATTTCAGTGTGTAATCAACTGCGTTTCATCCATAAAGTCTGAATGAACCACAGCCCCTTGATGAGGAGAAGTTTCAGTCCTTGTTTAAAGATTATCCTTGGTAGAATAGCAATCATCTTCAGTCTAGATTGGTCCAGTTGCAGGGCAAAAAAAAATCTTTCTTGAGGTAGTTGCAAGTTTAATTTCTACTTCCATCCACTAGACTTTGAAAGGCTCCTGCTGAACCAGGACCCATAAATTTTTTCAGTTGACTGGTCTCCCCACCATTTCTCGTGGAAGTGCAGACTTCTGTATAACAAATGTGAGCTTACTGGTCACACTTCTGGCTAGGATTCTGGTTACCTATGGTGCACTGGATTCTGTGGACTGCAGTTGAAAATGCAAATTTAATACATGATTTGGAGTAAAGTAATTTTTAAACTTCTTTCTGATTGGTATAGTGGATTGAGATATGGTATTCCCAGGGCTGGTTTGGATCATCTTTTCTGAAAGTTTTCCATCTTGTCATCATTCTTATTAAAATTTCTATTTGATTTCCTTTTCTATGCATATTCAAACCCCACGTTTGCTGTCATGGCTGTGACAATTCTATAAATACAACTGCCCATGTGGCTCTTAACAAAATAGTGTTCTTGGCCAGGAGGGAAAATATCCCTTTGTCCCGGGAATTTTTGTTTAAATCAGGGGATGTTTTGCACACTCAGAAAGATCCTTAGGTGCTTAGTTGAGATATGTACCTTTGCAGGCAGAATTTGAATGTGAGCCTTCATGTTCCAAGTGAATATTGTGATTCCAGTTTATAGATTTGGCTTCTTTGTTGTCCCAGTGTTACTTTGTATTAGCAAGTCATGCACATGCAGGCAGGGCATGGAAGTGGTGAGAATACCTCTGCTGGGGTTCTTGCCTTCCAGTGTAAGAGATAGCAGCTAATGGCTTAGGTTGAGCTGGACAAAGGGCTCACTTTAATTAGCATTTCCCCCATGTTTTTATATAACTGTATGACTAACTTTTTGGAAAGGAACAGTGTTTCTGCAATGTTCCCAAGGATCCTGAGTGTGTTCTGCTTTGGAGTAGGGATGAATTTGTAATGCCAGATTTCTGCCTAATAGAATTCCAAGTGCTGTCTAACCATAATTACAATTCATGTGCAGGTGTCTGTAGTGTTCCAAGTCCTCTTCTGAATGACTGTCCAAAATAACACTGTTCATTTTGCATGGGCAATATATTAGAGGACTTGATCCTTGATAGATACAGTCTCGCATGTAGCTGTATTAAAATGTATCTTGCATGAGTCCCATATCACATGCAACCTAGAATGCTCTGTAAGATTTCCCTGCATTAATAGCTACTCCATCAAATTTTGTGTCAAAATATTTGATATCAGTAATGATATTTTAATTTGGTTTTATTTACCAATCCAGACTGTATCTGTGGACTGAAGGCAGATTCTGATAGGATGCTGTTTAAAATATCCCCCATGATTTTCCATTTACTTTGATTGGGCAACCAGATGAGCAGTGTAACACTAAATGAAAGAAAAGACATCAATCTGAAGCCCTGTGGTGTGATTCTCAGCTCATTCTGCAGTCTCTTTGGAGTATAGTTATAACTGAAATTCCCCACCACTCGCTCTTTCTGTTGGGCATTATGTGTCTTGAGTGCATGTGCAATGGGGGAGGTTGGTGTTGTATCTGTAATTCACACACACGGGGTTTTTTGTCAGGGGAGGCTGAGTCACTCACTGCTACTGTTTTCTGATTGGATTTTTCTAGGTTGATTCTTCTAGACTGCTTGCTTACAATTATTATTTTTCTTTAGTGTTTTAGTATGTCTAAGAACTCTCTGACATACTAACATAAAGATCATTCTGGTGAAAACTATGAAGGATAGCTCACTGAGCTTCCCCAGCTAATGCTAAGTAGGATTAATTATGATTTCCCATGTTCTAAAAAAAGCAGAAAATTAGGCTTTTCAAACCACGTGTCTATGTGTCTAAATCACCACCATAACAGTGATTAGTGTATATTTAAATATTTTTGGTGTGTGATTATAGTTTCTAGTGGTATCACAAAATGCAGTGCAAGTG